GTGTGTGTGTGTGTGTGTGTGTGTGTGTGTGTGTGTGTGTGTGTGTGTGTGTGTGTGTGTGTGTGTGTGAGAGAGAGAGAGAGAGAGAGAGAGAGAGAGAAGTCCTTTGTCTATATCCAGTTCTTTCTTTTGGATCAGATGTACAATGACAGATGAAATAACTGCACTATTTACAATAGAGGAGAGGACCTTATTTTACAAGGGCAGAAATGAAAAGAACATGAAAACAGTGATTTTATGTCAATATTTAATAGGCACAAAGGTGCAATATTATTTGTTGAAGAAAAGCCGCAAACTTCCATCTTCATTGCTGTTTGGGGTAGGTATCAAGAGTATGTACGTAAATCAGCAATCATCAAAGACATTTGATTTTTATGATAGCTATAGTGATTTCTGTTGAGATTGGGTATCTTCACTTAAATCAGACCATTCTCATCATAATCATATGATACTGACTCCAGTAAAAGGCACATCAACTTGTTGCTCGTACCAGTATTAGCAACGCTGGAGTCTCAGTCTGAACCAAATGTAAACCCTTTTCCAAAGCTACATCAAACCAGAAAATCATTAGTCCAGAGCTATACCCTACCCTATTCAGATTGTGCCCTAGGCAGATAAAAGAAGTAAGATTTGTGGGAGTGTCTATGCTGATGAGAAATGTCAGCTAAACTGAATTAGTCTGCTAACTCAATTTTAAAGCTTGGCTGAGCCACAAAGTAAAGCACACGCTAGCTGCCTGGCACAAGTGATTTTCAAATCAGGCTAAGTAAGAACAGAGCTGCTCGAAGCCATGTCTACACTGTCTTCAGCTGGTTTTAGAATAGGCTTTGTTAAATCAGTTTTAAAACTGCCTGCAATATTAGATATCATATTCCCAGGAGGAGCCTAGGACTTCTTAACCATTCACTTTGTGTAGGCCACTATCTGCTTGTCAAATTGCTATAAATATATCTAATTTCCAGGAGCTTTATAAAGTTAAATGAAAGTTTTGAAAACTCGTTCTGATCTGCAGATGAAAGATGCCACATAAGCAAAGTGTAAACAACTGTCACTAGACTGGACAAACAAAAAATACTTGATTGTAGAGATTTGTTCATGTACTAGAAGACTGTCAGGGCTGTTTATGGACTAGCATTTTCTATTGGTTATTTCTATGATGAGCAGACCTACAGCTTGCTCACCCTATCAATGAAATCACTCTCAAAATTCACTTTGATTTCAGTAAGACCCTCAATATGATAACTATGTATTAAAGAGTAAATAATCAGATACTTTCCTCCCTGGATGGAATTCAGGGCATTGCCCACTCCTCTCATGGCTGGTTCAGACATAGGACAGGGGGACTATATTGGGATAATTTCTCTTTAACCTGCTGCAAATGGGGTGGGGAGGGGCAAGTGAGGCAGCACCCTTATAATAATACAAAAATCAGTACTTGTATAGCACCTTCCATCCAAGGATCTCAAAGCAGAGAAAGGATTGGCTTGTGGCCCTGGACTGGCACAGCAGAGGTCTTGCATAGTTCCTGGTTCTGGTACAGATCTTGTGTGTGACCTTGGGCAGGTCACTTAATATGCCCAGGCTTCAATTTCCCACCTGTAAATTAGGTATAATGATATATCTTGTTTCCCAGCCTTAGCCAACTTGCCTCTTTAGGCCCTGGGTCAGGAAATGACTTAAAGCAGGAGCTGAATCCAAAGCACCTGCTTAGGTCTCACTGAGTGCAACCAGATTTAAGCATGACTTTAAATCAGTGGTCCCCAACCTTTTTAAGTAGGAGATCATCTTTGGCACTTAAAAGCAACCCAAGATCTACCATGTGCCACCAACATCCTCCCCCCGCCCCCAGGAAGTAAGTCTGTGGGGAGGGAAGGGCGGGCAGATGGAGGCAGAGGGAGAAAAGATTATTTGGGGGTATGCCTCCCCAGCAGGTAAATCCCACCCAGCCGGGGCCCCACTCAACTTACACCTGCTCCTGCCTCTGTGGCACTGTTCCTCCCCGTGGGGGCCTCGCTTTAGCCCCTGCCCCTTCCCTCCCATCTCCTCCCCTCGCCTCCCCCACAGACTGACCTGCTGGACTGGAGCATGTGTGTGTCCCCCACCCCAGCCTCGGATCAACTCCAAGAGGCTCCAAGATCCACCACACGAGGCCCCAAGATGCCTTTCAGCCCTTCCATTATTAACTCCTTGAAAGGAGGAACTCTCTTCCCCAGGGTCTCTACCCAGTGCCTCGCAGGGAACAGCAAGGATCTGGGTTGCGGCCCCTAAATGCCACCATCATGATAAGTAAACCCAGCGCTCACAGGCACGACATCAGCCAAGCCCCACCGTGCCCTGGAAGTCACAGAAATGTTATCAGGCTTTTGTTTTGTTTTGTGTTTTTTGGGGGGGGTTGTTGTTGTTGTTACCCAAGGACCAGGGCTGGACTAATGCATCGGCAAACTAGGCACACTAAGTGAAGAAGCGGCCCAGTTGTGCTTGTTTGACACAGTATTATTATTGGGGGGCGGGGGGAGGAAGTAATACAAATATACAGGATGAAGTAGGGGCCCACGAGTTTTGTTTGCCTCGGGCCCTGGAAAGGGTTAATCCGGCCCTGCCAAGGACCAAAACAAACCAAGCCCCTCCCAGCCCAGGACCTTGGCAAGGGCTCGCCCCGCTTTGTGCCTTTCCAGCCCGCAGCCGGAGCGGCGGGGACTCCTGCTCCGCGGGGATCGCGGCACCGGCCCCGGCCCA